GTGGTATTTTTGGCCTATCATTGCTAGAAAATTTTTTAGTTTTGTGATAGATTATAAGTTGTTCAGCGGAAGGACTGTTCTGAAGCATGGTCGGAACACCAATTCGTTGTTAGGCTCTAAGAGATTTTTTGGACAAATGTTAGCGGTCCGTATGAAGTTTTGATTGCTTGACCACCGGGTCTCTGTAACTCTTAGGATGATCAGTAATGATTTAGTTGAGATTTGTTTGGTAGGTATAAGGACGCTTGTCCGATTATACATCGATAAGAGGGCGCTGGCCTCGGGTTAGGAGAGATCTTTATCGTCTTCAGCTTATATTCTGAGGTAGTTTATGTGGTAGTAGATCGCTTGTGCATACGATAGAAAGGTGGCGCTGGCCTGTTTTCGGAGACCGGTTGTTGCTTTGAATCTTATATTTTAGTTTGCGGCGTTTCTTTTAAATGTTTTCCGTTCTCCTTTGTCTTGTCTTCTTTTGTTTTCATCAGACGTTTACCACTCAAGGTTATTGAGACAACATCCCCGACCACGTGAAACCAAACACCAAAGATCTTCTGACCTTTTTAATGAAGTCTAAGGCGGATTCCACAGTTAAAAGATATACAAAGGAAATCATCAAGTTCTCAAGATGGTGTAATTTCTCCAGTATTCAGCCGTCGCCTCCTTTCTCGGTTTCGGTTGTAATTGCTTACCTTCACGAGGCATACGTTAGATCCAAGTCTTATGCAACATTATCGTTGACACATGCAGCCCTTAAATGGTTTTATTCCTTTATTCCTGGCATCATTAGTGGATGCAGCAATTTGCCATAATTTTTTAGAAGCAGCTAAACGCACCAAACCAGCTGTTTCTAAGAAGGAACCCATCTCTGCCGATATTATTAAGAAAATCATTGATAAGTATGCTGGTCCTTCAGCTAACCTCAAGGACTCGAGTTTAGCTTGCATGTGCTCGTTAGGTTTCGCGGGGTTTCTTCGCTATTATGAATTTTGTAATATTTTGATAAGCCATCTGGAATTTTTGCCTAATCATTTGTGTGTTTGTTCCCAGTGCCAAGAATGACGTTTACAGAGAAGGGAATAAGGTTTATATTAAGAGATTGTTTAGTAGATATTGTCTTGTTGCCCTCCTAGAAAGATACATTCTGATGGCTAAGGTACATCTTAACAGCAATATGCCACTCTTTAGACCTTTAAGATTGTTCAAATCTTCCGATACTTACAAGTTATATGGAAGCAAGTTCTCGTATACGAGATGTAGGGAAGTATTTAAGAATTGTCTTAAGGATCTTGGCTTGGATTACAAGTTGTATGGCCTGCATAGCTTAAGATCGGGAGGGGCTACATCTGTTGTTAGCAACAGCACCAGCTCATCGGAACTTTCACTTAAATTACATGGCCGCTGGAAGTCGGACTGTGCAAAAGACGTGTATGTCCTTGAAGACGTATCTAAGCGTCTAGAAATAACTGATAACTTGGGATTGTAGCAGTTAGGGTACCTTAATTGTAATATTCTTTCGTCAATTGTATGAATAAATGTCAGCTTGGATTGCCTGAGCATCCAACCATCATTCCTTTGGTGTTGTATTTCTATAGTATTTAAGGAGAAAATAATTCACGTTCGTCTGAGCGCAGCGAATTAGAACGTAACTTGGGTTACCCGTTACCGGTACTCGGGATTGTACAATACTGCTGTACAGTGTGTTCAGTGACCTTCAATTTTCTAATAATCAGCCAGTCAAGATACAACCACAGTCAAACCCCGAGGCGAACCTGTATTTGTGGGCATAGGCTAAAATCTGGACTCTGGAGTGGACTGGACTCTGGACTCTGGACTCTGGACTCTAATTTTACTTTAATTTTACGTTAATTTTACTCTGATTTTACTTTTACTGTAATCAGTATCGGCAAAATTACGAACAACTATGCGCATCACTATGCGATTAATTGAGTCAATTAATCGACCGGTTTCGTCTTCGAGTGAGACTTCATCAGGATAAACTACAAAATAAACTACTTAATACATTCTAGGAACTTATTTTATACTAGACCTTGTCAGTACATGTCGAGTTATTAGTTTGGGTGTGAACAACAAAACACCCGCAAGTATTTTCGCACAGGATATGATAAAATTCTGTGCTAGAAAGAGGTTTTTGAAGGTGTTTTTGGGCTCACGGTTTTAACCTTAAACTCAAAACCTTGTAGAAAACTACTTTTTGCGAAATGGAAACGAGCTATGTGCTCACATGAATATTTCTAACAAGGAAATGAAAAGCAAACCTGTGCGACTTTGAA